TCTCACCACCTCCACCAGTCTCTCATCTCCACCACTCTTCCACCACCTTCAACACCACCTCCAATATTCTCACACCCTCCTCCTTCACTATCCTCAACACCACATCCACTCTCACCATTTCTTTTAGCGCTTTCTCTCCCTCTCACCATCACTCTCTTCCTCTCTTAGCTTCACCATCACCACCATCACCACCCCAACATTAATTTTTCCCTAACACCATTAAAACCACTTTTATGCTCCACCAACACCATTATCACCGTCCCTCATCACCATCATTATCACCACTCTCATCACTACCATCACCACCACACACCACACCTCACCACATGACTCTTACCCTATCCTCAGCTCTCCACATGTCTCCTACCCTACCCTCACCTCTCAGTATGATATAGTCGTATTTATCCCTAAAACACGTGATAATTTCTCAAGTATATTGGTAGTTTAATAGAATACAGTAATGAAAATAAGGTAATTTGTCTATACCTGGATTTTATATTCATTATCATATAACACAAGTGTCAACAATATCCGCATAATAACACTGAACACAATCAAAACACAAGGCACAATGACCTTCTAGAGTTTGTGTCGACCAGAGTGTTTATTTGTCCTGTAAAATCTCACCTGCGCAGAGGGCCCAGGTAAGTCCTTTATAAGTGGTAGTTTTCTATAAATCATTTCTTGGATTTTTATCTATTGGGACACTTCTTATATGGTATTTGTCTCTTGTTTAACTTTTGTTGTGTTTGGAAGTGTGTGTGTGTGTGTGTGTGAGACAAAGTTTACGTGGGTGTTATGAAAGACCTACTTCAATTTGAGAACGAAAATTAATGGCAGGCAAAAATCAACAGACGAGGAACATTACCATTTCATAATACGACCGCATAAGCGAGGGGCCATATGTAGATCATGGGTGAAGGTCATCTAAACAGCGCGGTGATGTGAACCACTTACGGTAGAGTGATGGAGATTTTGTTATGATAAACAGTTTCGATAATATTTTTTGTCTCTCTCTCTCTCTCTCTCTCTCTCTCTCTCTCTCTCTCGTGTTGGCTGTAATTTCCTACACCTATCCTAACCTAACCTAATCGTACACCAAACACAATCATTATAATGTAGGATTCGTTATAACTACAAATTTCTTAGCTAGATTATTTCCTAGAGTAACGAAAATTTAAGTTGGTCTAAAATTAATGAAACTTTCAGCTACACTGGATGGAAGAATTCTGAACTTGTCAAACAAATTCTGGCTTCGTTTACTTCAGGAATTATTGAGATTTTAATATGATTTTGGTAAGCTTTTGTTAACTTTATTATATGTCATGTGATATTAGTTTAGTCTTAATAAATTGGTGAGTTTTCGAAATTTCAAACTATTGTGTTTATCGTTGTAATCATGTATAGGTAAACTTAACGTAAACTATTAGTGAATATCATCAGTACTTGCCTATCTAACCTTACCTTACCTTACCTTACCTTACCTTACCTTACCTTACCTTACCTTACCTTACCTTACCTTACCTTACCTTACGTGAATACTCTTTACTCTACAGTATATTCCCATCATCTTCGTCACACTCACTCGCCTATTCCTGTTCTTACTTCAACACGATGTTCATGAGTTGTTCGTCTGTGAGCTGGAGCACAACTGAAACGCCATTGTCATTGTCCATGTTCATATATTCTACCACATCCTCTTCATCCAATTTGCTGGTTTAATCACACGACAGAAATGAAAAAGATGGCGGGAAAAATGTTCGTCCACCCGGGACTCCACCAGAGAAAAAGCGGCCAAAACGAGAACTAATCGGGACGATGGAATTTAATTTGTTCTGAATATCGGAATTGTGGTTTTTTAGTAAGAAATACAATGATTTTCAAGTAAAAATTGTTTCTTGAAGGATGGATTCGGGTTTGAGTATCTATAGATGACAGAAAAAGGGTAAAAAAAAGGAAGGGGGGGGGCAGTATATGTGTTTTGAGAGAGAGAGAGAGAGAGAGAGAGAGAGAGAGAGAGTCACTGTCTTCTACAAGTCTTATAGATTCAATTTCAAACTCCATTTACCCTCTTGTTCTCGCCTCCAACCTTCACTTCACCATCTCTTCACTTATTCACCTTGTGTTTCCGGCTCAGTTTCAACACACTCCAGCACATTCCTCACTTCCACTCCACCTATTAAGACATGCACGATACCTTCACCCCTTCACTTCCCTCTCACCACCTCGTACAGTAAACCCTCAATAGGACGTTAAATTCCTTCCGTAAAATTCTTCTTGGTTTAAAATAACAATAATTCGGTGCGTCTATTTATAAACCCCATCAAAGAAAGATATGAATTATTATCAAACGTCACTTTATACCGAGGAAACTTTATCAAATTACTCCAAAGATAAAACAAGTGTATATAAATGTGTTAATATAGTCACTAAGGCTATTGAATAAGATATATATCCTTACTTAACTTTTATTAGCAATATAGATCAGACTGAAAGGATATATTTATACAAAGGCTCTACTCTAAGATTCTCACGTAAGGTCTTGACGAGTTTTTTCTAAGTCACTTTTTGGTAAGACCTTTTATGCAACTATGTTATTCAAGCTTCAACGAGATCTTTTTTGCGTCTATGATATTCAAAGCTTCAACAAGACCTTTTATGCGTCTATGTTATTCAAGCTTCAACAAGACCTTTTATACATCTATGTTATTCAAGCTTCAACAAGACCTTTTATGCGTCTATGACAAAAAAAGTTGTCAAGTTTCCCTGTTTCTGAATCTCCAGTCTGGCATTAATATGATGAAAGATATGTTCCTTATTCAAGTTCAATTGTTAATTTCAGCCATTCTTAGATCTAGTGAACTCTTGTGCTAATTCAGTCGAGCAAATGAGTTAAGTTTCTAATGACGTTCATATGGGGAAATTAACTTCTTTAAAAGTCCCTAAGAGAAAACTAATATACGACTACCTATTGATCATAAGCTCCAGGTTGGATTTTTTCTCTCGATTAGCGTAGAACTAATTAAATTTCACACTGAGAGACGGAACAGTTTAATTACTGGATTATCATAAGAAAGTTGAGTTTTCGTCGTAAGTCAAGATGTTAGAACGTACTTAACCAATTGACTTATTCCATTACAAACAACTTTAGCCGTATATTGACATACACCTTTAACCAAATCATTTCTCTTCGCTCTTAAGAGAATATTAAACTTTAGGGTTACTCTTTTGTCTCCTAATTGGTGTTAAGTAAAAGAATCTAGTTCAAGTTGAGTCTCAGTTTACCTTTGATGTTATTCTTGGATAAAAGTTTTGTGTTTGAACTGAAATCAACCAGTGAGGTGCGTCCTGATACTTACGAGGAATATTTACCTAACGACCCTTTGTCAACTGAGAACCGAATACTTTAAGAATCCACTTCCTTTCCTCCCTCAACTTGCTTTCATGCTGGGGACGTCTTGCATGGGTTCGCTTACTTCTTTAATCTATCTATATAAATGTAAGAAAACTTAATCAGATATATTTTGACGAGAGAAGAACGAATCTAAAGTTAATACAATATAGTGCAAGTGCAGTAATTATCCCTTCAATCTTCGTCTCAACTGAAGAAAGGTAATTAGACCACTTAGGTCAATTAGTGTCAGCAATTTCTTTTGATAACACCACAGGTTCTATGTTTTCCTTTTAAGATATATAAACAGAATCAGGAAGATTTTAGTTTTTTAGTAAATTACCATTTAATTCCTTATTTACGTAGCAACTGTAATTTCTTGATGTAAATAGAACACCTTGCAGTCATTTCCTTTACACAGATTAACACAAAGATCAAGTAAAGCTGTGAATTTTACCATTTTATCTCTACCACAAAATCACCCAGGAAAATGTTTTATATATTTAGTCATCAATCTGTGGCTTGAATTTGTGTTTTTTTTTTTAACTTGTTGTAAATATGGAAACAAAGTTGCTAAAATGTAATAGTAATTTGGTTTCTCTCGATTGTAAACTAATTCAGGGTAATAATGTTTCCTCCCATCCGCCCTCACAGTAAAGTAAGCGAACAGGTGAGATAATGTTAATGACCTCGGAAGATAAACACGCTTAGGTTAATGGACTTTTAGCCGCCAGGTACCAGTTGTGTTGTATTGCTCTGTCACTGTTGCTCACAGATTTGTTTTGTTAATTCGATGTTTAATGCTAATTGTTGCCTGAATGAGAATAATTAGTATAACTAATTTACGTAGACAACTTAAGCTATGGATTTCCACATACACAACAATAACATATACACGCACGCACACACACACACGCGATAATATCTTAATACAATATAGTTATAAAGGAAGGAATGAGAGCACCAGACAGACACATGAACCACTTACTGAGGAATTAAATTTGGGGACGGGAGAGCCAGGTGGGTGTTGTGTCGTGTGTGGGGTTGACAAGAGGCGTCCATGGGGTATTTTAGTGTCCAGTTCATGTGCTTTGTTCCTGCCTGTAATTTTCTTAGAAATAATTGTGATTAAACTATGATATATTTATTTTTATAGAGAACCTAAGGAGAGTAATTCATGGCACGTGGATCTCGTTAACCTTGTCGTCTAAACTGACATGATCCAATAATTAGGTTGAAATATACTAGAGGAGAGGACGTCAGCGTGTAGCCAGACTGCGTCAAAGGGGTCCAGGGAAAATAGAAAAAGACTGGGTGCATAATTTTCCATTGCATAATTTTGAGTTAAAATGATCAGTTTCCCTTTTTTTTTCGATGGAAAAAAATGAATAATGCTTCTGGAGAACTGACACTCAATTTTGTAGTTGATGATTTGCATGTTGCTTCGCCAGTGCTTTTAATCATGACTCCTCACAAAACTTCAACGAGCACAAACTTGAGCCACTCTCCCATTAGACTCGATCAAAGGAGGACAAACAGCCTCCAAGCCGGTTCAGGCAAACTCAGCCTCTGCCTGCTGGTCGCTCCATTGATTCTCACTCAGTGCTGTGTTGGACCTCGACGGGTGAGGACTGGCGCCGCTCTCCGCCCCTCGCTGGGCTGGTGTTTCACTATTATATATCAATATTACCTGGAAATAAGATATTGTGATAATTCTTGTTTATGATAGCGGGTGAACGTCTATATCGACACTCGGGTGCATAGTGATTTTTTTTTACAAATGTCTGGTTACTCTGAAGTGACGTACTGAAATAAACGGACTAATGGTGGAATAATGTTTTAGTTCATTCTTCCGAGTGCATAGTGAAGGCAGGAAATTGTGCATAAGAGGTTATAACAGAAAGGAATAACTAGCTACTGCAGGTGTTAGTGTACACTCGCTGTGTGTCATACGGTCGCCGCAGTAGTGTGGACAGTCTTTATTGCTACATTCTATCCTATCAAATATTGTTTTTCAGATGAATACGTAACTTTATTGGCATATAATAATATATTGTTAGCTGCACGGTATTGCCGATATTTTCGCCTGGAAAACCATTACTGAATACAATTCACTCGATAAATTGGAAAATAAACCATGTAGAAATGCATATGGAAAAATTGCTCCAGTGAAAACCGATATATCGTTTCATTAGATATTTTTCAGGTGAGAGGAAAGCGAGTGTAAGTGTGTGCCAATTGGTTTACAAATTTATATGGAGATATGCGAGGCGGGACAAGAACGCTTTGTTAACTTGTATGGAGTCTTCACCTGAGCCTGCCGAGGTGACCTACCTGGTGTTGACTTCTCTATTACCTGAGCCTCTCTAATTGTGATTGATGACGCCACACACACGCACCCACATACATACACACACACACACAGACACACACACACACAGACACACACACACACACACACACACACACACACACACAGACACACACACACACAGACACACACACACACACACACACACACACACACACACACACACATACATACACACACACACACACTACATATGTATACATATAAAAGAGAGAGAAAGAGAGGGACAAGAGAGAGCACAATATAAGAGTGTGTGTGTTCATGTATATGTGTATATATATATATATATATATATATATATATATATATATATATATATATATATATATATATATATATATATATATATATATATATATATATATATATATATACAAGGTTTGAGAAAGTCGATGAGGATGTGTGTGTGGTACTGAAGGTGCTGGGGCCACTACACGGTACACTACTGGCTATGGATACTCACCATTTTGAGGACCATCGCGTCGGGTGTTACTGTCCTAGACACGCGGGGAGTCGTTAGCCACACAGACCTGGCCCTCGAGACCCTGTAATCATCAGCCATCAATACTTCACCTTCGTATGCTAGTGCTCTTATCACTGGCCCTCACGCACCCGGCGACCTTGCTGCCACTGACGCTCATTATTTACGTGGTCGTGCTTGTGATAGGTGGTGGAATGGTCTTATTGGATGCTCGCCTCCCCAGAATTAGGGGTGTGAACATTGTAACTTTCACGCGACCTTGGCCATTTGTGCTTTTTCAAGACTTCTCGGTGGATCATTAATTATTTTTAGTGTTCATGTTTTTTTATGTTTGCCTATTCATCATACACACACACACACACACACACACACACACACACACACACACGATATCCAACAATTTCATTTGACGTCTTATGGATTATTTTCATTGGCTGTAAACTTGGTTGTTCCGCATCATCTGTATCTTAGCTACACCTGTACAGTATACCTCTTCTTCTGTTCAATCGTATATTATATTTCCTTCACATTTATGTTTATGCAAAAAATCTGAATGTAAATATATAATGGTATAAGTTTTTGTTTTTTTAATGTGACGATTGTGTAGGAATTTATACTTTGTAAAGGACTAAGGTCTGAAAATAATGCGTTGCCGTTCACGTGTCACAAATGAGAAGTTAACAGATATTCCCACTAAAGTCTTTGTTGGCTTTGTAATATTATAATTTAGTGATTATTGACAAAATATAACTATTTGAAATAATTTTTTACCACGACACGAATCACCTCTCTCTCTCTCTCTCTCTCTCTCTCTCTCATAATTGTATTTATTTCTTACTATTCTCCCTTTACTTTTCGGTGATTAAAAAAACAAAAAATAGTTAGTAAAAAGTACATAAAATATAAAATGTTCTTCCTTTGAGTAATTTTTATCTTAGTATATACAAAACAAAAAGGGGGGGGGGGGCGGTGTGGCGAAGTGTACCACATACTGAGAACATCTTACGAGTCCTCACGTTCGAGTTTTCCCTTCGATCATTTTCACTCCTGTAAATGAAACACCATATTGAAAGTGAGCGTTTATTGAGGTACAATTTTGATCTATATTTTTATTGGTAGACGAGGAGAGTAGCACTCATTTGATTGGCTCGTCCCGTCATGTCAGGGCTTTGTGGATTCTGATTGGCTCATACGGATGGGGATATAACTGATTGGTTTATACTGTTAAAAATAATGTTCTCATTGGCTACTCTGGCTCATATGGTCAGGTGTGATGGTGTCTCTTCTACCTTAAATCAACAGGTAAATAACTTGTTTTTCTGATTGACGGAACCTATTATACTTTTGATTAAGTTACCTGACCAGGTTTATTACGCTACTGATTGAGTCATAGGCAGGTGTATAGTGTACCTGATTGGCTGTATCACGTGTCTTGATTTCATTAACTTATTGGCAATATCCTGAATGCATTTTCTTTATCAGGTTGACACAGTGAGTAATTAAGTGAGTAATTAAGTTGTTTTTTTGGCTCAGTTTTTGTCACTTGAGCTACGACTCTTAAGTGGTGGATAACATTAGCTCATACGAGTTAAGGGATGATGTAGAGTGCTTCATATTGACTCATACACAGTAGGAAATACTGGTGGTATGAGGAGTGAGTTTTAACACCGGAAACTGACATTCGATAAATAATGAAGAAATACAATGTTAAAAAAAATAGTGAAACTTCTATATAACGGAATTCCCTCTCATTATAGTCCGTTAAATAAAGGTTTCACTATATCCTTGAAGTTGTGAAATACTACGAACACTACACCACATCTCGGTCATAGTTCCTAATCCTTAACATTATTTTTTTTTGGGACTTTATTAATATGTGAATATCTTTTTTGTACTGAATATATAACTCAAGATGGAAGACTGAGGATATTAGAGAAGTTTTGTTCAAAGTTTGCATCAAGTTGTGTCCAGATAATGTTCGGCGATCGTTTCTTTATGTGTGACAGACTTGAAATAATATCTGACGTGTTCTGGATATTTGTTGTGTGTGCGTACATCCACTTTCTCTAGTTCATTTATTTTAGTTATCAAGAATTAACTATCTATCAGAATCATACTACAGTCTTCTTTACGTATTAGGGAAGTGTCCTAAATACCCCCACTGAGACCAACTCCTCTCTCCATCATCCTTACCTCACTCCTTAGCCTCTCCTCCTCGACCTCCTTCCCTCCCTCACCCAGTCCCCTTCTCGCTGACCTCATTCTGATGCTGTGTCCACTTCAGTCATGACCTCTCACTTCACTTTATTTTATCTTCATGATTTTTTTTTTGACCATTCTGTACGCCACATGTTCCTTTGGGTGTATCATGATTTACCGTGTCCACCGTACGCCCTCAGTGTCCATTCTCCGTGTCCAACCTCCTTATCTAGTTCCCACCCTTCGTGTCCACCTCCCGCCCTCCATATCCACCCTCCATATTCACCTTCCACCCTCCATATTCACCTTCCACCCTCCATATTCACCCTCCACCCTTCATATTCACCCTCCACCCTCAGTATTTACTCTCCACCCTCCATATCCACCCTCCATATCCACCCTCCACCCCCCGTGTTCATCCTCCACCCTCTTCATTCACTTCTAAGAAAACTCATCTCCTCTGTTTGCTCACCACCTCCCAATCTACAGTCACAGACCTTGTTTACCCCGCAAACAAGAGCGTATATTTCAACACTTGTAAGAAATTCTCCACCTCTTCAGTATTCCACCATTACTGTCCATCTCTCACTCATCAGAGAGAGAGAGAGAGAGAGAGAGAGAGCTACTTTATATTGATGATGTATTAGAAGCAAAATGACGGCTGTTTTCAAGGTAGACCTAACCTAACCTAATCTAACCTATCCTAACCTAACCTAACCTAACCTAACCTAACCTAACCTAGGGTAACATTGTTTTGGCGTTAAGTGACTCCATGACCCTTATTTTGTTTATATATTAACCTTAAATATTTATATAACCAGACTTGAGTATGTCATGATGAATTTATTTACCATTGTTATATGAGTCGAGTCTATCACGTACAGGCAGACAAACAGGTGGACTAACGGATGGTATTGAACAACTCACCATCAACACGACTTATCCCAAATCAAAACAAATGTGGGTATTCCTCCACTGACTGTCCAACCAATCACGTATTATGCCTTAGTTCTCTGTACAGTTACTTTAATTTCCTTCTCTTTGTATTTTGTTTTGATCCATCCATCATTGTTAGGATTTTTGTCATTGTCAGTATCCTTTCTGTACTAAATCATCTCATTAACACTGGGAGTTAGCCTTAAAGAACTTGGTATAAGGAGAGAATTGATTGACTAATTCTTCTATGAAATGCTAAAAATATTTCTCGAGGGGTGTCAGTTGTATATATGATTAACAGTGATTGAGAGGTTGGTGCATGTGTTGGAGGTGTAACTTGAGGTGTTGGAGGTGGAGGATAGGTGGTGGAGGTGTAACTCGAGGTGTTGGAGGTGGAGGATAGGTGGTGGAGGTGTAACTTGAGGTTGTTGAAGTGTGACTTGAAGTGGTGGATATGGAGGCTAGGTGGTGGAGGTGTAACGCGAGGTGGTGTAGGTGGAGGCGAGGTGGTGGAGGTGTAACTCGAAGTGATGGAGGTGTAACTTGAGGTGGTGGAGGTATAACTCAAGGGTGGTAGGATCAATGATACGAGACGTCACTCAGGGTGTGTTAACTGTGTTATGTTCTTCTGCCACGACACCTTCTCCTCCTCCTCCTCCTCCTCCTCCTCCTCCT